TTTGGAGCTTATAACTCCAGGTGTTGCTTAGCAGGAAGGTGACTGGATTTCAGATAATTTTGCTTATTTCTAAATATCAAGAAGAAACCACAAAACCAACAAACTATATATCTTGCTTCTTTGCTAAAAAAAACCCCACCCCATATATCTGGATCATAGTCTCATCCCCAGATGCACATTCTACCTTTTGAGTACATGAATGAACAATTTTGTTGAAAATTAAGCAAAAGTTCTCAATGTTTCCACTTGAAATGTTTGGTACATTTAGAGCAAATCCTTAGCCCAGTCCACAGGCTTCATAAGCAAAGGACCCACATGAAGAATAGGGGAACATGAAGAGCAGGTTTTTTTCATACAGATTATCAACAGTTTTTCAAGTTTATCTGCTTGACAGAATAAACTTCAATCCAATTCAGTCTTCACCCTAGCCCAAAACAGTACTTTCTCCTAACAGGAACAAAGGCTTGAGGACCTCCTTAGAAGAAAAACATCTTGTACTGGTTCTACTTGAGGTTTACTCGCCCTGACTTGCAAAAAAAGTTAAAACCTACATGAGACTTGGTCATACAGTCTAAGGAGAGTCAGATCTTGCTGAACCACACCAACAGCAGATTTGTTCCACAGCACAAGACAAAGAGAAACCTTCACACAGAGACAGAAGTGCTGAAAATGGTAGGTTTCTTTCCAACTTAACAAACTGTTGGTAACTCTAACTTCTGGGCCTCCTGAAATAAGATGCATTTCAAATTAAGGTCCACACCAAACTTGGGTACTCGAACCATGTTTCTCCCCCAAACTCTGAGATACTTTATCTCTAAAACTACTGAACTGCTTTGATTTTAAACACTACTGTGATGTGCGTCACACAAAACCATAAATAGGTACAAAATTAGGTAACCAGAACTAACACTTAGCATAAAAAAAGTCCTGGAGTTATTTGTCTCCACATCTCTGCAACACCTCCTTTGCAATTTCATACACTTGAACATCTGTGGTTTTCTTTAGCTAACGAATAAATTCCACTCAGATTATATAAAATTGTCTTTATAAAAAGATCTTCATGTAATGTATCCAAGTAGGGACACCATATGGTATTTTGGGCCTGGTCAGAATGGACTGTAATTAACTAAGTATTATTCTGACTTTTGAATATTTTCCCTCATTACCATTTCCTCAATTATATATTTTATTTAAAGGTAAAAAATTTCAGGTAAAAATAATATAATAGACCTGGAACATACTGAGAATGCAGGATTATACCTTTCTCATCACATATGACAATAACCCTGTAATTAAAACAATCATAACTCTTCAACTGTTATGAGTTATCCACCATCATGTTCTAAACTACATGCACTAAACTACAAATTCACATAACTTTTTTTTGTTTCACATGTACATCAACATGGATAAAAATACACGTAATTCCTAAAAAGCAGCCTACAACAATAGGTCCAAATAAAAAATTGGACCCACTTCCACAATCATTATTTAATCTTTTTTTAGTCAGCAAAACTAACTGCTGGTGAGAATTTTGTTTTATGCATCATGAGAAAATATGTAAATAGGCATCAAACATTTGTACTTTATTAGAGTCAAGTGTTTTTCAAATTAATACAATGTTCTGGATGATGCATGCCAATGGACATAAACTAAGGTGAAAAACTGAATAATAAATCAAGAAAACACAGTCATTCAATAGCGTAAGACAAGGAAATTTCACTCCGGCAATTTATGGGGAAGCTAGTGAAGTTCCAGCTCTACAGGTTAGTTTTATGCTGTGCTTTTGCAATGAGGTCATTGAAGTGATGATAATATCAGTGGTATCTTGTTAGAATAAGATTTTCATTTTATATTTCTACATGTACATAGGACTTCATACGTTAGATTGTTAATCGTGCCAAAACTGGTAGCTGGTTTTATGGTTTTGAAAAATGGGTACGGGAGGCACAGAAACCATGAGGAATTAAAAAGGGCACTTAAAACAAAGCTTGTTCATGAACTCATCACAATTGTTTCTGTTTGTACAACAGAAATGTTTTAATAGGCTAAAAAATGGCTAAAAAATATTAACTGTCAAAATCCAGTAAAAGCAATCTGGTGTTGGAACTTAGGAAGTATGTAGAGGTGCTGCACAGAGGAAACTGTGCAGTATGTAACTGAAATAATGGATGGAAAAGGGGTAATCCTTACCATGTGAAGTGATAGGTGCAACCCTGTTTACACTTTGAGATAAGGCTGGCTAACACCACATATGTCAGAACACACTCAAATGCTATATAAAGGCATTATCATCCTGTCTTTAGTGGAACCACCCATGTGTGGGATTTGGCTTTATGCACATCCCTTGTCAGTGAATTCATTTGTTTCTACTAAATTACTAAGGCATCTTCAGAAATAAAACTTAAAGAGCTTAACTAATCACGGCAATAACAAGACTTTAGGTCAAACTAGCAAAGGTCTAATTTCCCCACTTTCAGAAGAACCAACAGGATCTAAAATTATCAGTTTTGGCTGCACTTTCTGATTCACTGATTTCACTTTCAAGACAAATTTCTAATTCCAGTTAAGGCACCTGTTTCAACCAGAGCTTGTAATATTGCTTATATCACCACATAACTTCTTCAAATAGTGAACTGTGCAACTCAAATAATTTTCTCTTTGAAGTGTTGACAGGAATCATTGGAATGCTCTGAACCTATAAAGGGCTGATATCACAGCTCCATATAATGGGACCATATGTAAGTTTATACTTGTATTTCATATGAACTATATGTTAATGGCAGGCATCTATACAGGCACTCTTGAGTAGCAGAGAAACTGTCATTAACTGACTGCTGTTACAATCCACAGTTTTCTACATGGAATAGTAAATTACAAACTTATTACAATCAAATGAATATGACTTACTTTCCTTATCACTTTGAAACAATAAAAATATCTTAAGAAAACCAATAGTTTAAAGCAAAATCTTCAACTTCTCCTAGGCAAAATGCATATTCCAAATATGGCTGATTGCTTGTATCTACTGAAATGTGAAAACAGGCTTATTTGTATCTAAATAATAAAACAACTTCCATGTTTCTAATGATCCAGGCATTTTCATTATATGAAGATGGATTAACCGATATCAACAATTTGAGAAGACAATACTGTTAACTACTAGGGGAAAATACAGTTTCATTAATCTACAAAATTTCCTCTAGAAAACAAGACTGCAAATGGAAGCAATTTTGCTCCTGCTACCCATGCTCGCTGTCTCCACTTGTTGTTCAGTTTTTAGGGATTTCTGTTGAAGAAATTTTTCAAATAACAACTTCCTAGTTACATAATAAAAACAGAATATATTTCAAGTCATACTAAAGTAATTTTGCAAAGAACAGACCAGACACTGATTACCAGAGTTCTCCCATATACACTTATTAAACTGAAATAATTCAAGAAAACTAGTTTTAGGTTTGTACACTTTCAGTGGTAGATAAAGTTTTCTTGTGACTGCTAGTACGATTAATCCCTAAGCTTCTCTGACACCATAGTTCAAGTCTATCTCTGGGAGTGTGGGGACTCACTGTCCTTTTCAGGGATGCTCTGCATCAAGAAAAACAGGTATAAACTGTACTGATATGCTGAAAATTAACAAGAGGCCTTGGTCATGCAAATATATATTGTAGTCTGGAGCTTGAATGTAATATGTTCTAAAAATCCACAATAGCTTTCTTTCAGAGCCAAATAAACTTTTTTTTTCAGTAATCACTATTTATATATTTCTTTGCTTAAACGGCAACAATAAACTGCAAACATCTTCACGCCCTTAAGAATATAATCTTTTTAAACAAACAGGGATGTTGAATATCAGAGCTGAGAGTTTCCTTGTGTCAAAAGCAAGAAGCGCTGGAGTTGTGGAAATTCTTCAGAGCAGCACTATGCACATCTTTTTTGCTTGTGAGCACTATTTCTCATAGTCCTGTAAGTACTGGTGCCAAGACAATTTTCACTTAAAAATTTCAACTGTTTTGTTATTTCAGGCATGATTTTCAGATCTCTGATGTTTGCATAAAAGGTGACAGTATTGTTGATTTAGAAGCGTTGGGGGGGAAGGCGGTGGGTGGTGGTGTGAAAGATAATCGTGAATACAGCGAGCTCATTTTTTACAGACAAGAAACGTCATAAGTGTGAATGCCTAATTTATTATTTCCGTGCTTCAAGTGGGAATATGCTTCAGCAACTCCAATCTTACAAGTGGGAATGACACCTCCTGAATGTATGCAAATTCCTCGAATCAAAGGGTAATTTAAAAAATAGGCTTTAAGTAGCAGGATGCCTAATTAACTCAGATACCGAGTATACGACCCCGACTTTAAGCAGCTAAAACTGCAGATTTCAGTGAATGCTTCCTTGGAAGCGAAGTATAGCCGGGATCAAAGGATCACACTAGCTGTAGCCTCAGCCGGCTGAGACCTGCTTTCATTGTGCTATTAAATCAATCGGAAACCCTAATCAGACTCCCCAGGAGAGCTCTTCAATACATCCCCCCTGAAAAGCCTCCCCTTCGGTAGAAGGCAGCCCGTTTCCATGTCCCTGGTCCTCCCCCGTGTCCTACAGTTCCGACAGCGCAAAAATGAGAGGACATGCCGCGCACCGATGCCTTTCAGGCGTGTCATTTATGGACATAAAACTTCAGGAGCGGAGTACACGGGCGCCTCCGAACCCGAACCCCCACACCCCTCACACAGCAGGGACAGCCGCGCCCAGCGCGCCCGCCCCACACCCGCGCGGCCGCCGCGCCCCGCACCGCCCGCCCCCGACCCGTCCCGTCCCGCCGCCCCACACCGCGCCCTGGCGCCCCTCGGGGCTGGCTGCGGAGAGGGGCAGGAGCCGGGCTCGCCCACGCCGCGGCCCCTGAGCGAAGGTGCCCGGGAGCCGCGGCCGCGCCCGGGGAGCGGCGCGGGCGCTGCGGGCGGCAGGGGGAGCTGCGGGGCGGGCGCGGCGGCCGCGGTTACCTTCGGGGTTGGCGCTGATGAAGACGCGGACGCTCCTGCCGGTCGGCGCCAGGTGGGACGGCAGCGCCGAGAGGTTGCCGGAGAACGCCGCCCGCCGCAGCGCCGCGTCCCGCGGGCAGGGCAGCCTGCCGCCCGCCCCGGCCGGCCACATCCCGCCGCGCTGCAGGGCGAGGCGCCGGCTTAGGGCAGCCCCCGCACCGCCGCGGCGGCGCCAGCGGCTCCTGCTACCGGCTGGCCGGCAGCGGCCATACGGATCCTCCGGCTGCCCGGGGCCGCCGCCTGCCTGCGCGGCGGCGGCGGGGCTGGGGCTGTGGCTGGGGCTGTGGCCGGGGCTGTGGCCGCCGCGCGGCGACGGAGCGCGGGGGCAGCGGGGAGACGAGGCGCCGTCCGCCCCCCGCGCCGCTCCCCTGCGGCCGCCGGCGGCGAGGAGGGCGCGGGAAGAAAGTTTGCGGCGGAGCGGTGCCGGGCGCGGCGGAGGCGGTGGCGGGACGGCGGCCCCGCGGCGGCAGCAGCAGCCGGACCCCCAGCGCCGCCCGGCCCCGGGCGCGGCCCCGGAGCAGCGGGAGGCTGAGCGCCGGGAGCGCGGTGTGGCCGGCGAGACCCTCCGGTTCCCCCTCCACCTGCGAGGGTTTGAGGTGTCCAAAGCGGGGACGTCTCTGGTGAGGCTGACGGCGCCTTCGCTCCTCCGAGTGTGTCACAGCCCCGCGATCGGATTTTTATAGGAAAACTGCTGCCGGCTTATCCTTTGGGCTCGGAAGAGTTCAGAGCCCTTGTTGTGTTCCGTAATCTCCTGCACAGGAGTCCCACCTGCTCAGATACAAAAGAGAGATGCTCTTGCTGCTTTTTTCTTTCCTTTGTTTTTAATCAGTTATTTATTTATCGGAATAAATGAAAAGCTGCGGTTTGAAGAATGAAAGAGGCAGGAAGCAGCGAGCCACGCCACCGGCGGGATGCGGTCCCTTTGCAGCAGTCAGTGGCGGGGCATCCCGTCGGGCAGCGCCGATGAAATATTTAGGAGGGCGGCGGGGTCGGGCGGCGGCGCGGTGCGGTGCTGCGCGGTGCTGCGGCCCCAGCCCCAGCGGGCGGCGGGCCTTTGGCGAGCCGCGGAGTTTAGAAACCTCCCCGGGAGGGGCGGGCAGGCAGGCAGGGACCTGGCAGCACGGTGGAGAGGAGGGGCTGGAGGGGCAGGGGAGGGGTGGGCACGGGGCCGCAGCCAGCCTGATGGGTCTGTTGGCCGTGGGAATCCTTCCTGGGAGGAGGATGTCTCTTCGACAGAGAGATCTGCAGGTGTTTGAAAGGCTGGAGAGAAAAGTCTTTGGCGCGGGCGGTATCTATATATTCATGTGCTGTAACTGATAAAATGCTGGTTTGTGTATTTCCACATGTATGGTACACTATGTATAATGTATATAAAACAACCTTATTGTGTTTTTATACACAGTATTTAGGAGCCGAGATCTTCCTCTCACCTCCCCGCTTTTCGGTACTCGGTTGTGTTACCCTCCCTGTGGTCCCAGCCGGACGAGTTGCTTGCTGTGGCAGCAGTAAGGGACCCTGAGTTGGCTTTCACCGAGGTAATGCTACTAAAGTAGGCAAAAGCAAACTGTTCAGCTCGTTTCAGAAATGAAGGTGACAGCAAGATGGGTTCCTTAAGTACTGCTGAGCAGATTTTTGAGAAAAATTCCGATTTCTTAAAGAAATAAGGCATATGCAGAATTGCATCCGTGTGTATTTGCATATAAGGGAATAATTTTGCTGCTGTTTGCTTGCTGTTGTTTTATTAGTTCTGCACCCCATAAGTTTTGGGCTGATTTCAACCAAATGAAACAGAGGGGCAAAGTTTGAGATATTAATTCTCAAAGAAAGAACATTCCTCTAAGTTCTGTGAACACAGCTGGGCAGGAGAAAATATGCTTATGTGCAAAGAGGAAAAATATGCAGCATATATTTCAACCATTAATGTTGAAATGTCAGCGTTGAACAGAGGGCTTGTGGGACTGTTGGGAACTGAATGTACAGGAATTGGAAAAATCCAACTTTCAATAAAAATGCATATTTCTATAGGATTCAGCAATGTCCAATAAGGAACAAATCTCACTTGAAGCCTGTCATGGTAGACATGCATTTTTCTCTTCTCTGTGGATTCTCTGGTGCTCTGTTAAGACAAGCCTGAAGCTTTGGTATAATTCGGTTAAAAAATCTGATAATCAGGAGATGCAATTCTGTAGGAAATAAGGCTTCATGCATGTCATTGCCTACAAAACTATTGGTCTTATCTGCACTTCCTTTACCCTTTGTGTAGCCAATGTGCTTAGGTGTGCCTTTTTCTGGCTTGTGTCACTAACAGGTAATTTCTCTAATTCAGAGCTGAAAAGCAGCTCCTTGAGGCTGCAGACAGTTAATGAGTGCACGAAGGAAATGATTTATAGTGTGGGATGAGTTATGTCTTACGTACTTTGCTGGCACTAACTCTCAGCTGGGCTATCTCCTTTGTTTCTTCTGCATAAACTACTAGGCAGCTCTTAAATAGGAATTTGTTTGTGGAAGCACCTCCTGGTAAGGATGCAGAGGCTCTCACTTCACATTGCTGCTGCCTTAGTGTTATCGTCACTTTCTCAGACAGCTTCTTTGGAAGATGAGGCTCATTGATCTACCCCTTTACCATTCCAGCCATAATGCAGTGGGTTTTTTAAGATTCATTTTGGCAGTCATTTTCACTAAGTTGAAAACTTGACTTTGAATAATTTGAATTCTTTTGGAATTTTGTTTTTGACAGCATTGACAAAAACGTCAGCTTTTAACTGAATATATTGTTTCACAAACCCAATCTGAATGAAATGGGACCAGGCATATCACTTCCAGCTGTTCCCCCTGTCTGTTGGTTGCCTGGCTGATACGGTGCTGGTGGCAGGCATCGCTGCACTGCATATGAAGCAGGTGGTTTGTGCAGCTTGCAGGCTGCCAGTGTGCAGTTCAGAACCTGTGCTGATCTGTATTACTATTTTGATCTGTACACTGGATTGCTTTTATGCATGACTCAGCTTCCTGTCACGGTAGCTGCCACCTCTATGAAAGCTGAACTGGACAGATGCCTTAGAGTAGTAATCTCTTCAGCTGTCCAGCTTCAATCTGCTTGTGTTTAGGGCTCAGTGTCCCCAGCTTTAGTGCCTGTGAGTATAAAATGCTGGGAATGAAGTACAGTGAGGCTGAAATGGAGAGGATAAAGAAATGACTGCAGAGAAAACTAATTTATTGCTTTACCTGAGACTTTGTCAGTATGAAAGCACTCTGGGTTAACTCAATTTGGAGATTAGTTGGTAGTTTTTCTTAAATTAAAAGAATTATTTTGTTAATTCAACAAGAAGAAAAACAATATAAAAATATTATGTAAACCAAAATAAAAATCATAAATAGGGTACTTCTGTGTTCATTATAAGCATACATCAAAATTACCCTCTTTTATCTTGAATAACAGGTTTTTTTAATTATTCACTTAGGAAAATGTACTGCTTTAGAAGGGATATTTTAGAATCAGTGTCTGTATGTGAGTCGCAAACTAGTTATGTGGAAGCCACCTGGACAGAGATTCTCATCCTGTAGAAGATTGCAGAGCATTGCCTGAAGGCATGATCTCCAAACTTTTCACCTTGACTCTACTTGGAGAAGATCTGTAGTATCTGTCATTAAAGTTAATGCAAGAAGTATCCTTGTGCCAAACAGGAGTACAAACAGATCTAAAATTCTTCAAGTGACTTCATATAAACATGGTTTGATACTGAAAAACACTAAATCAGCAAAGTGGCAGGGAATCTTTGTGCATATGCTCTCGGTGTATGTTCTTTCCCTTTCAACTGAATGTTCATTGGTTTATCACTCTGTCCTTATTTGCTCCATGTTCAGATATATTTAAATGAAGCTACAGAATGCATCCCTTGGGAAAACACGAGTAAACGCAAGTTATTCCTGATGGCCTGATCCTGCTGTAATTCAAACAGAGTAGTGCTTTATTTCTTAAGCAGTACCACAGGAAATGGTAATATATTGAAGGTAGGCAGTACAGTTCAGTAGTCCTGATCCAAATCCATGGAGATCAATAAAAAATACAAAAGCAAAGGGTTTGAAATTTACAACCAGCTTTTTGAGGCATATCATTCTGAGTCAAGTTGTGTAAATGAGCATTATAGATCAGTTCTGATAGTTTGAAGAACTTGGGAAGTCACCTGAGTGATATGCTGTAGGCAATGTTGTGATACAAACTTAACTCTGAGAAACAAATTTATTCTGTCTGCAAGCTAAATTTATGCACTTATTCATATGTGTTTTAATACTTTAATACATATTGTGAGGTATGCGAAAGCACTTGGTAGTGGTGTAATTTCAGTCTCACTGTGATCAGTAGAGACATGCTCAGTACTTCTATTGAAGGCATACCTGAAGCTGGCACTTCCTACACCAAGTACATGTCAGGGTCATAATAGCTGAGGGGTGGTTTTTATATCTTTCAGGTAAAGTGTTTTGCCCTGCACTAAAATACAGCCACTGAGGTATGAATAATAAGTAATGGCCAGTCTTCGCGAGCGAAGATTTGGGAAAGGTCATTAACCCTTCGAGCCTGCGCAGTGGATTTTTTAGGTGAGACACAGCGTGCGCTGAACTGAGCCCACCCTTTAATCCTGAGGTTCATCTGCCGGGGCCGAGCAAAACTCGGACAGTGGCAGTGAGGGTCTCAGAACGTAGGTTTGTTTAGAGTGACCTTCTCTTAGATGGATTGCCTCACAGGGCTAACGAGCTCCATCTGCCCGGGGGGCTGGGAATCGAACCCGGGTCACAGCGGTGAGAGTCCTGCACCCTAACCACTAGACCACCAGAGGCCCCACTGAGGTATGAACTAGGTACTTAAAATACCCATCAGTTCTCCTCAAATTTTTAGAGCCTAGTTCTGCCAGGGGCTGCATGTTCAGCCTTCCCATTGTCTTCGCTCCAAAATGGTAGCTATTTGAAGGAGTTGGGAAGGCAAAGTTTTAAGATCAGGTCAAAAATCAAAGTTTAAGGGTCAGCAAGTTGAACAGTGTCTCCCCTCTCATGTAGAAATTATAAGATTCCTGATGGAATACTAACTCAAAGCTGAGTGTTACTTTACTGCTCCCTAGT